AGAATGCACACAAGATAAAAGAAAAAGCATGGCCAGCTGGTGTCTTCTGCTCATGGTTCTGAGTGTCTGGGACCCAGCCTCATGAGGGACAGTGGCTTTTGAGGCTCATCCATAAAAGGCCTTGTCCACTATCATCCAAAGTTTGGGGAGCTGTAAAAGAGCTTATGGAGAGGGAACTGGTGTCCCTAGATGGTGAGTCTGGGACAAAGGGTGTGAGCACAACATGGAATGATCAGTTTTGTTGATCAGGATGAAAACCTGAGTTTTGGGAAACAGATTGTGAGGTAGCCTACTCAAACATTAGGCTGTTCAGTTACTAGAATGTGCTTGCCATGAGTCTTATTACTTCTCTATCACTTCTACTCAGAATGCTGGCTGTCTCTCCATGCTCAGTACCTTGCTCCATTTTCATGCTAATGAGCTTTAGCAGCTGATTTAAATATTTCTAGGTCTCCTTTTGTCTTAGTTACATTTCCATTCCTTTGAAGAGACAAAATCAATGCAACTTATAATTTGGGGAGCCACTTACAGTTTCAGAAGGTGAGTCCGTGACCATGGTGGCAGGGAGCATGGCAGCAGGGAGGCACTGGAGCAGAAGCTAGAGATTGCATCTTATCTTCAAGTTGGAGGTAAAGAGTGAAGGAGACTGGGCCTGGAGTGGGCTTTTGAAACCTTAAAGTCCACTTCTGGTAATGCACTTCCTCCAAAAGGCCACACCTCCCAATCCTTCCCCAAAACAATTCCACCAAGTATTCAATATATAAGCCTATGGGGGCTATTCTCATTCAAACCACCACACCTTTCTATCTGCCCATGTCTTCCTTTGTCAAGATCTGTTAGTCCCCAGCACTATTACTAGCTTGGTAGGTACTGGGTCATTTTTGTTTCATGCCCATTTTTAGATTTTAGTAGTGGAGGGTCATTATCACTGTAAAAGATCAAGAGACCTAAGATGGCCTTTAGAAGGTAGCTTGTGAGTAAACCCTAGGCATACCAGAACCCTACGTGGGCTGACCAGTTCATATGGTACAGTATTTGGGCTGACAAGTTACACCACACAGTAGAACTAATTTTTTCTTAGCACTCTACTTCTGACTTTACAGCCTATAGTTACTCTGATATACAGTTGAGTGATTATCTCAAGAAATAATAGGTCTTTTATACCTACATTTTTCTGCCAAAGCCAACCAAGCCCTGCCACTCCATGGACACTTTCTGTTGGCTGCCTGAGTTCTGCCCACCATTTTAAGGCCCTAAATAACACACAGAGATTTATGTTAGTTTACAATGCTGCTGGCCAATTGACTAGGATTGCTTATATGCTAGCTCCCTCTTAATTATCATAAATCTATGTATTTTATAAGACTTATCTTATTGAGGATGCCATCCATTAGTGTCCTCTTCCTGGGATCACATGGCAGCTCCAGAGCAGAGAGCAGGAGGAAGAGAAAAGGAACGACTTTCTTCTTGTCTTTGCTTATATTCTGAATCTGCCTGCTATGTCACTTCCTGCCTGGATCACCAGACTTCTCTTTTCTACATTTCCCAGAATCCTCCTCAACTCCTAGTCCCACCTAACTTTCTGCCTCATTGGCCGAGCAGTGCTTTATTCAACAACCAATAAGATAAACATATACACAGAAGGACGTTCCCCATCACATCTCCCATAGAAAACATCGAATTTTCGGTACAGTGGACTTTGTGTGAACAAGGGCTTTTCTTGCCTAAAATCTTAGTGTCTGTTTCTATCGAGATAGCAACCAACACCTGGAAGCCCCCTGGGAAATATATGTTCAACTATTTTTATTTGGCACAGTGGTTGTGCCTTAATCTACTGCTTTTTTCAGCCAGCAATTGCGACTCTTCCGTTACCAGCCTGCTTCATTGGTAGAGAGCTTTGGGCACAGGCTGTTGAGGATTCTGTTCTTGAAGACACTGGCCCTGTTGAATGTTGTTGGTCTCTGCAGAGGGTTGGTTCCCAGACAATCATCATTTGTAAAAGTCTTCGGGTGCTCAAGACCCTCATATAAAATAGTGTTGTATTTTCAGAGAATCTGTAGCCATCTTCCATATCCTTTTAAATCACCTCTGGCTGACTTAGAATACAGATACAGTGTAGATACTGTATAAATAGTTGTTACATTACCTTGTTCAGGAGTGATAACAAAACATTGTGTACCTGTTCAGTGAAGTTGAAATTGTTCGTCTAAATATTTTCTAAGACCCGTTGCTTAAATCCAAAGATAAGAATCAATGACTACAGAGGACTGGCTGTGCTTAATTGCCTCCTAATTTTAAGAAATAAATCTCTCTTAATGGGTGCTCTCTTTCCTGGACTATTCACTCTCTGTAACATGTGTGGAGGCTTCTGTCCGTTGCTTCTCTGGTGAGCTAATCTTCTCTTTCATCCTTGCACACACCCTTTACTTGTCTGTATGTATCAGCTCAGACTCTTTAGAGAAACCACCATTAGATTTGCTCAGCTATACCTGCCCCCCACACAAACACTCATCCCCTTGGAACCTCCAGGCCACAGAGAAGGCTACCCTGAAGCCCTGTGTGCATGATATGAGGTAAGCTGGTCACTGCCTCAAGCTTTTTGGATCACATGCACTCAGCACCAACTGATATAAATAGTGGGAGTCAACAGGCAACTGCTGGTCTGAGAGAACTGAGCACTTCTGAAGTTTTAGAGAACACAAAATCTTAATGGTGGGGCTGATACTGAATAGTTCTCAAATTCTTACGTTACATGTTGCTTGTGTACACATTGAGTTCACTTGATAGATGGCTATGAAATCACTTGAAACTGTATTTTAGTAAACCCTACCATTATGATGTGACTAAGAACAAGAGAGAAATTGTGGTTTGGGATTACAGAAATCTAGAATATCCCACAATTTACTTTAGTTTCCCATGGGTATTCAGCATGTCAGCTAGTATGAACAGTAGAACAAAATCTAGATTATGCTCTAGTAGTTAAGTTACCTTATGAAGTGGCATTAATACTTTATATTAATACCATAGAATATTTTTATTTTACACCAAAATACATACAATTACAAGCTCTTTAGAGATGGAAATTAAGAATTAACAGTGATGTAATAGAGAATTGAATTGGCATGTAGGAAATCTGAGATCTGAGGTGTGTTCTGTGACTTTGGAGCAGGTATATAACTTCTCTGGCAATTCATTTCCTTAGTAAAAGTGGATCAACTGTGCATGTAACCATAAGGCGTCTAAGGCTCAGGCATATATGATGTTAGTTGTTTTAGTAGGGTGGCTTTGATTTCACATGACAGCTCTGAAGATAAATTTCTTCATTTATAATAAATGTTGAATTTCTTTACTTGTGGTATTCTATCTCAGCCATAATTATATGACTCTAATATCTCTGATTCATAATGGAGTTTGGTTCTTCATTTTTCCATCTTCAAAAGTATGAAAGTAGGCAAGAATAATCATAAAGCTGAAAAAGAATGTTTGAGCCAAAAAAAAAAAAAAAACACTAGTTGGAAAATACAATAGTACAAAACTATTTTATTCTGAGTCACAACCTATTCAATTGGGCTCAAAAATCTTCTAGGTTAAAAGTGCTTTAAAATAATTTTAAAAGTATATGATTTTATTGATTTGAATCCCTAGAATCCCATATAAAATAATGTCATTAAGAATCATGCACCAAAGGAACCAAAGAGAAATGTGAAGCTGGGGCTTCATTCTATTCTGTCTAGTGCTAAGTTCTATTTCATACCATTGCTGAGCATCCCTGATGGATCCAACAGAAGCAGACTATTTGGAAATGTTTCTAGGTGACTGTGTGTGTGTGTGTGGGGGGGTGAATCACTCTTGGCTGTCATTAAAGTAGACATTTTCAGGCGTTCTGTCCAGTTTTTAAAGCCATATGAAATCTGGGTCAACATGTACAGCCTTACTAATAAACTTTATTGTCATTTATCATACATCAGTCCAGAAAGGGGCATGTGATGCTTGGGAATCTGGCAAAGACCCCAGGTGATGTGGGTTTTTAACCATCATCTGTTGCAGTTGCTAGTACTTCCTTAGTTACTAGTTATTCTTCTATCCATGCACAGCAAGTGCCTCTCAATGAAGAAGACACCTATGCAACCAGGACTTTCCTTCCCTGCCTGGTGCCTCCCACTTCAAGCAAAGATGCAGTCTTTTGCTGTTGTGGCATCTGACAAAAGCAGATGTGGGAGGAAGAGGGAGTTAAAATTTCCAGCACTGAATCTTCTCATGAGTTGCCAGATGTCTGGATAAACATCACTTTGATGATTCATCCAGTTATCCCCAAATACAGTGAAAGCAGTCACACACACAAGAGATGTGCAGAGCCACTTCCCTCAGGGATCTTCTGTTTCTCATCATCTTTCAAAATGCAACATGTTGGTTAGGGACAGCCACATGGCCAAAGTTCATTTTTCCCTTCCTGAAAATGAGATATATAGTATGCTCAAAATCTGACCTGACCTAACCCAAGGTCAGGCCACCTTCTATGACATATAGGAACAGTCTTGTTTTGAGTCCTGGTCAGTGTTGCATGTCTGGCACAGAGAAAGCCACAACACATACACTTCCTTTATAATAAGTACTGAGTTCTAAAAGTGCAAGCACCCAGTCCTAGGCAGTTTCCCTTGCCCAGTCCTGCTGTTGTGTGTCAGCAGCTCCTTCCTGCAGCATCCAATCCTATGAGCTGGAGCCCTGATGAGTTCTACAAGGGATGCTGTATTTGGAGGCATGTGACACCCAGGGTGATTCTCAGGTTTCTTGTGGCTGGTGGAATGCACAGAGCAAACCCACTCAGTTATTGGTTTTGTTGTTTTCTCAAACCAATGGAAAGCCTGCTACATAAGCAGATACAGCCTCCAACCCATCTTTCCTCTTGAGTTTTAGGAAATGCAGTGCCCTATGTTATTCAATGAAGACTTGTTTCGTCTTAATGCTCTTTGAAATCTCTTTTCTTGTCCATCAGAATGCTTAGTCTGTGTCCATTGCATTTCAGAAATCTCTGAGTTGAACACTGAGAACATCATTCCTACTTTTTGAGTCTTGAATTGAAAGCTGCCAGAACCCTACAGCCTATAAGGGAAATAAAAGGTAATCATATTTTAAAATGGATTATTAAATTCACATATAAATCTACCCATAATGAATGCATTTTTATGTGTTGTACAGAATTTTGTAACCCTTCTTTATTTCTCCAGCTTCATTTGCTTTTCTTTTTTCTCCTCTTTCCTGCCCTCCTGTTTGTTTCCTCCTTTCTCTGTATTCACTCAGTAGGCTGAGTGGAGTCCTTTCAAGGCCAGCCAGTAATTGGGGCACACATAGAAGCCTGGGTGACATGGGAGGGACTGGTGAAAGCACATCTGAAAATGGCAGCCCCTGTCTCTTTCCCAGTGCTTCTGGTGATGGTCTGACTGTCTGACGACAAGGCCACAGCTGTCCCAGTACCCACTCTCCTTCCTTCATCATCGTGTTGGAACGACTGCCCTCCTGCACTCTGAGTACTGATTGGGTGTTTGCATACAGTAGCCTTTTCTGAGTTACATGAACCTACTTTCTGTTTGTATTTAATCTTCACAATTAGGACTGTTAGAATTACACATAAACACAGAAGCAACAGTACAACTCCCCCGCCAGTTAATTTGTTGTTTTCTCAAACCAATGGAAAGCCTGCTACATAAGCAGATACAGCCTCCAACCCATCTTAATTTGTTAATTTGTGGACACTTCCCAACACTTCCCACTGGACCTGAGACCTGACATGACAGTTCCAAGATGAATATTTTTTTCAATTTCTGTCTTATGTCACAGTAAAAATAACAGGTTGCCGAAGTGGTCTATAAAATCAGTTTCTGTTCATATGCAAGGTATGTGTCAAACAAGAACACGTTTCACATGTAGACACAACCCGAACATGTCACAGTTCTTGATACTCTGTTCTTCTGCAGGATACAGATAGTAGCACTTCTTTCTTGAGGTTCTGCAAGTACTGAATTAATTAGTGTATACAAAATACAGTGTCCCAGGCACACAGTGTGTATCTTGTGAGAGGGAGCCCTCACTGACAGTGATAAAACAATAATAGAGTTATCATGATGTGTTTGTAATAGGACAAATGCCATGACCCCGAATTCTGATGAGAGCCTAACAGTAGGAGGGAAGAAGAGCTACAAGTTCAGTAATCTCATTGTTATGTTCATTAAATAATTCTCCCCACTTTGATCACAAAGGTTCATCCATAAAAGCTTTGGCTGTGATTGGCAAGCAGAGTGAATAGGTAGTTAGTTATGCTATATATTCCTTGTTCCTACTATTTTTACCACATTGTCTATATTTATATTAGTTTAAAGGCAATTGAATATGAATAATTATTTGTTCTCTTATTAAATATGAAATGTTCTGAAATACCACTTTCTTATATTTTCTTTGCCCAAACTTTAAGGAGCAAACCAACCTGAAATTGAACAATACTTAAACTGAACATGAATTCAATGCAACTTACTTAAGTTTTGGCTTTCTTTTCCTTGTTCTTTGAACTGAACACATATTTACATCTATTGCATTAGAGATTTCCTAAGCATTCATTTCATAGCATCTGCTTTGTGTGCAGTTGAAATGGATGACATTTCCAGGCAGACAACTATTGTATAGAGCTGGGGTGGAGCTCAGGAGTAGAATTTGTGCTCAACATGCACAAGGCATGGAATTCTATCCCTAGCAATAAACTCACACACACACACACACACACACACACACACACACACACACCAGTCATTTAAAGAGTATATAATTATATAATTCACTATGAGCCTCATACATTAGCAAGCAGCTCCATCTGAACCTTTCTTTGTCTCTGTGCCAGCATTGGACATGCACAGTACAAATGAGAACTGAACTGAAAACACTTTGAGGGGATGAGTGAATAAGAACCCATTTGCTAAAATCCTGAGGGCATGATGACTTTCAGATTTGCTTCTAGTAGCCCTGTGAAACAGAACTGCAAAGAAAGTCATGTCCCTGGGAGGATGTGTGCATTTGAATGCAGCAATGTCAGTTCTGTCTGACGTTGGAGTCTGTTTGCTTTCCTCTGCTGTCTCCCTGCTGCCCTCCCCCACCCCCTTTCCTGATTGCTGGCTCTTCATCCTTCTAGACCTTAGTGTGAGAACACTGCTGTCCCCTTGCTGCTTGCCTCCAGAGGGGAGGCTGATGAGTGTCCTACCCAAGAGTGGTGGCTAGCTTGAGCAACCATACCCCTTTGCTGCCGTCTCTGCTGCTGGGGCCTCTGCTCCAGCAGACCTGCCTGTGCCTGAGGAAGGGGTAGCCCACCCTGTGGGGAATCCCTGATGGTGCCTTTCGGCCTCTGCTCTTGAAGGTGGTTTCATTGGTGCCCTTAGATCCATCTTTTCTCAGCTGATTTTGGAGAAAAGCATTTGTCTCTGTCCTCATCAGTATTTCCAGGCAGGGAGCTGTATTATGGTTGCACTTTTGCAAATCTCTGTGTTTTGCAAGGAAGGGCCAGGCTTGGGCAGGAGTTGTATGTTCTGTTGAAATGAAGACTTACTAACCTTAAGGGATGTCACTAGCTTCTGTAATAGAGATCTAGAGCTGGACTTACACAGTGCTCTCCTCAACAATAGACACCAGCCTCTTTTCATTAGGATTTTAAAAGTAAATTTGCATTTCTACTTCATTATTATAAGAACACAGTAAAGGAATGGAGAGGGTTGTGTGAGAATTCTGACTGCTTGTGAGAACACTTTAAGAAAACAAGACAAAACTCTTGTGACCTCGGGTTCTTCAAAACTACAAATTGTTCTTGGAGTGTGTTTTTATGCTCCTCCTAGGTGTAGTGGATAGGAGTGAGTTTACTTCAGATTACTCATTATTGCTTGCTGTTATTATCCAATTAAATGTTTATAATATCTTTTAGATGCCTCTATGGAAAAACATGTTTGGCATATATGGCATGTCCCTGTGATTGTATACAGCTTATACTCATGAGAACTTTACTTACATGACCTTTCTTAACTCTCAAAGTATAAATTGTCTGGGACTCTGAATAAAGTTGGCTAATGCATGAGACGTTAGTCCTCCTCGTTTATCTATAGTCTCCATTCTCCCAGGTCCCACCACCTCTAGAGTGAGGAAACATGTGGTTGTGTGTGATAGGTTATGGTTTGTCCCATGAGTTAGCAAGTGAGGAAAGCACAAGTTATTCTCAACATTTGGAAGAGAACAAAGTAAAAGTTTCTGAAAATCAAGAAGTTAAGGTGCCGTTCTGTGAGTCGTAAAGATGGCTCTCTCCCAACACCTAAATTTCCCTTCCCAGACAGTATGGTTTTCATATGACAAATTCCCCAAAGGCTAGCCCCTGGCTGCTGGTGCTGTTGAGGGAAGAGTAGATCATGAGGTGCTAGTTTCACCAATGGATTGATCCAACCATGACTTCATACCCAGTGGGTTATTAGAAGGTAGAGTCTAGTGGAGTGGACAGATGGGTTGGTGGTTAAGAACACTTGTAGCTTTTCCAGGGGACAGAACTTTGGTTCGCAGTGCCAATACCAGGTGTCACACAACTGCCCATAATTTCTGTTCTGGGAATGTGACAACCTCTTCTGGCCTCTGCAGGTACCCACACACCTCAAAAAGATAGACACAGATAGACATAAATCTTGAAAATAATCCTAAAAAAATGGTAGAGCCTAGTTGGAGGAAGTGAGCTACTGGGGTCAAATCCTTGATGGTCATACCTTTTCCATAGCCCTTTCTTGTCGCATTGCTTCCTGGTTGTCATAGGGCAATTTGCTTTCCTCTCTACTGCTGTACCACTGTGTTTTTTTTTTTTTTTTTTTTTTTTGCCTTGCCACAGACCTTAGAGCAGTTGGCCTACTCAACAAGGATGGAAACCTGAGCAAAAACAAATCTTTATCCTTCTAAGTTGTTTTTATGAGGGATTTTTATCTCAATGCAGACAGACTCCAAGGGATCTTTGATTTCACCTTTCATTGTTTTTCTTATATGCTGTTATCAGTCTACCCTGTGTGTCATCAGAGCAAATTAAGCATTACGAATTTACCATGTAGTAACATGAAGTTCTTTAAAGATCTGAATGTTCTTCTCTGAGTGTACTAATTTTTAAATTTCTAGAATACAACTTTAGATTGTCCTAGACTGAATTTTGGCATTGGTGTCTTATTATCATGGTTCCCTTTAGCCATAGGGGGTTATGTTTACCTCTGAGTGGGCACCCAAGATGGTAGATGGTAAGGAACCCTGCATTTGCCATTTTGTCCTATGCATATGTTCCTCTGGCAAAGTTTTAACTTGTAAAATACTTACAGCAGTAACTAATAATATGATAAGAACAGATGTAACAATATTGCAGTACCTGTTTCTACTTTGAGGCCATCACTAAGTAAAATAAAAGTTTGTTCTGGCATAGACACTGAATTACCTGGGCAGCTGATAATTGAGGTGATGCTGGTTAGTAAGTGACTAGCAGGTGATTTGAATATACCTGGACGTTATCGTAAAGGCTAATCAATTCCTGGGTGAAATGACAGCATGGGGATTCGTGACCCTTTTTAGAGTTGTGTGATTTAAAACACTGGGGATGTTGTATGTATGAAAATTCCATTTAATACTTTTTTGCAATGGCTTTCCACCGGCCCCTGAAATTGTGGGAAATGAAGCCATGGCTGGGGCACTACAGTCTGCCTTTATTATGTTTGGTAGAAGACAATAACATAATGGTATATTTTTATTTTCCTGCCTCTTTTGAGACCTTGGTATATTGATAGGTCTTTAAATATCAGTGTAGTAAAGCCATGGTGTGTTACATTTTTTTTTTCTCCATGGTCTGTAATGTCGGTTGAATAGCCATCTGCAGAAGTTGCTCAGCTTCTTCCTGTTTTACAGGATTCCCTTTAAACAAAACAACAAAAAGAAGAAACTTTAGTTTTTCCCAGGTGTTTGTACTCAGGTGTATACTTCTGTCTTCCTTCTTTTTTACGTGTAGACTTAAAAATTTTTTTGATTTATAGGCACATGCCAGTCATAAATGAAGTTATGTTTTCATGTGGAATGCTGTTTCT